TTATTATGACTTAGTCCATTATATTAAACTATATACCATGTACAATTTAAAATCATTTGCGTTTAAATTGGAAAATGCCATCTGTTCTAAGGCTTTTACACAAACTCTTTCCGGCGTTTGTTCCCCCAATACAAAGATAATTTTCGGAAAGGTATTGATATGAACATATAAAACGGATATTTCCCATTACATTCTGACCACAAAAATTTACATTTATTGAACAATTGACCACAAGTCGCACCTTATAGCAGATGTACAGATTTACACTTTGATAAAGATAGAATGACGCCATTTATTATAGGTTAAGCATTTAAAGATGGATTCCTCGCACATTTTAAAGTTATAATTTTTCCTTAAGACCAGTCTTTGTTCCCTTTTGAAGCATCCGAATATTGTTGATATTGTAAATTCAAATGTATATTAGAAAAACAACACAAGTATTTTTATATAGTGTTTCAACTTTTCATTTTATGACCATTTTAAATAAATATTTAACTTATTATTTATTTAAGCAAAAATAAATTTTTACAATACTAACTTAAATAGTTTGACGAACTAAATGTCATTTTAAATCCCTACAATTCATGCCTGTGTATCAACCGGTAAAATGTAGGTACGTTATGGAAATATTTGAAGTATCTATGCCATTCATATCAAAATTGAAATGATTGGTAATAGATAATAAAGTTGAATAATATTTGTGATATAATAACAGAACATCTGATGTTATTAAGACAATATTGGTTATATTTCTGGTATTTATTACTAATAATATCTAAAAAATTAATGATGGTATTAAAACAAAATATAAATAGCCAAGTGCTGATGATATTTAAGTAATTCATAACGACTACTTAGTTATTACTAATAATATCAAAAAGAAAAAAAAAACATCACTGATGATATCAAAGTTGAATTATATTCCTGGAAAATTTATATATAGCTGATTGTATTTAGAACAACCGATATGTAACGTTTTATGGTATTTATTGTTAATAATACCTAAAAATATGAATACTGATGATATCAAAGTTGAATTTTATTTATGTATATTAATTGACAATATTTCTAAAATGCGTTTCTGGTATTTGTGTATATTAATATCTCAAGAACTACTGATGATATTAACTCTATTGCTAATATTTACTTATTACTGATATCTCAAAAATTACTGATGATATCAAAGTTGAATTCTATTTATTTATGTATATACCTGACAATATTTCCAGAATATTTGATGGTATTCAAGTAATTGAGAAGGTTTCCGATATTTGCGTGTAATAATATCACAAGTATTACTGAAGGTATTAATGTTATTGATAACATTTCCTGTACTAATTACTGCCAATATCTCAAGAATTACTGAGAGTTGATAATATTTCTGGTATTTATAGATACTAATATCTCAAGAATTACTGATGGTATTTAAGTTAAGTGATATTTCTAGTATTATATAAGTTATAATATTTCTAAAGCAGCTGATGGTATTTAAGTTGAATGATATTTCTAGTATATATAAGTGATAATATTTCTAAAGCAGCAGATGGTATTTAAGTTGAATGATATTTCTAGTATATATAAGTTATAATATTTCTAAAGCAGCAGATGGTATTTAAGTTGAATGATATTTCTGGTATATATAAGTTATAATATTTCTAAAGCAGCAGATGGTATTTAAGTTGAATGATATTTCTAGTATATATAAGTTATAATATTTCTAAAGCAGCAGATGGTATTTAAGTTGAATGATATTTCTAGTATATATAAGTGATAATATTTCTAAAGCAGCTGATGGTATTTAAGTTGAATGATATTTCTAGTATATATAAGTGATAATATTTCTAAAGCAGCTGATGGTATTTAAGTTGAATGATATTTCTAGTATATATAAGTTATAATATTTCTAAAGCAGATGATGGTATTTAAGTCGAATGATATTTCTAGTATATATAAGTGATAA